GATATTGAGGGCTAAAGTAGAGGGCAAATGTTGTGAGATTGATGAGGGCAACAGGTGTACATAGGTGCTTGACTCAATGGATTTATATATGGACTGTGATAAGAATTGTATGAGCCCTCAATAAAATAATTAAAAAAAAGAATGGGGGTACAAAAGTACAAATGTGCTTTATACAACTGATGTATGTATGGATTGTGATGAGTTGTATGAGCCCCCAATAAAATGATTTAAAAAAAAGAAAGAAAGAAAAAAACAGAATCATTCTAAACAAGTTACAAACAAGTTTGTTATAACTAGATTCTCTACGGCAGAACTACACACCATCTACAAAAGGTAATTTCTGCCTTGGGTGCTGCACAGTTCATTCAGCTGGACATGCAAAACTACTCACAGATGCCAAAGCCTTTCCAAGTGCATCCCCTGTCTGTGAACTCCCAGCGGCATTCCCTCTGGTTCCTGAATATTTCAAGTAGGGAAACAAACAAGAATGTAAGCAAAGAGCCAGGCTTTTTAAGGCACTTTATGTAATCCTAAGAGTGTTTTCTATCATAAAATCACATCTGTCACAATACACTAGTAAATACTCTGATGCTATACTTACTAAGGTAAAGATGGGTTCTGTTACCAGATACTACCCAAAGAATACCAAAGTTTTGTTTTCCTTTCCTCTTTCCCCCCCTGTACTTACTACTAGAAAATATATTGGAAGCCGTGAGATTCACTGAAAAATCTAAAAATTGGACTTTAGGGAGTTTTGTCAACCCTAGAAAAGCTCACCTAGAATGCTATCTGACCCATTGATGGGAGGAGTGTGAGAAGCAGCAACATAAGGAGAACTGCTGGTACTGCCACGATGGAAGCTGGACATTGGTGGAAGACTCGTATTTATGTCTGTTGGTGAAACTGAGTGTGGAGGATAACTCTAGAGAGGGAGGAAAGAGATATTGTCCATTACATACATTTTCTCAATAATACGCACACACAACTGGACAACTGCTACAATAAGTGAAAAATATTGTAGGATGGCATTTTTGTCATTTGCTTTTTAAAAAGGCATGCTAAATGCAGAAGCGTTCAAGTACTTTAATTCAGCAAGTCTTGGCTGTAATCCAAAAAGAAACACAAGTGTGGACAAAGCACTGCTGTGGCCTGCGTTACAGGTGATGGCTTACCAAGCGGTCATGTGAATGAAGGCTGCCATAACTACTGGACTGAGACATGTGGGAAGTGGCGGTCCCCAGAATTCCACCAAAACCAGGCTGGCTCATCCCATTTGATGAACTCCAAAGGTCAGAAGAATTGTGGGTCCCATCTGAGACAAAATGAGAAGTGCAAATTTTCCGTAGGTAAGATTTATTCAGTTTAAAAAAAAGTTATAAAAACGCAGAGAGTACCCTCTAGATACCTTTTCCAACCTATTTTTCTATCCAGTTTTTCCTGCCTCTGAACTAAATAAATATTTAAATAGAGGTAAAGCTTTATAGTTGTTAAAAAAAATCCCCATGAGTATGTAAGTCATTAAAATCTTTGGCAGGTCTATATTCATATCAAGAGGGATAAGAAAAAATCCAAATTTGGAGATAAGTTGGATTTAATTTTCGGCTACATGGAATATCCAGAAATAGAGGGGAAAAGTTCTTAGCCCAACACAGATAATTTATATTATACAAAACCTTTTGAAAAGACTTAGCAAAAAGAAGTTTCTCCAGTAGCAAACTAAGTAATTGATAACGATTATATTGTAAGCAGCTCTTAATGAAATGAGTCAACAATGTTTTTATCCACCAATACAGAGGTCTATGTATGGTAATTTAATGCTCCCAAAGGTTACGTTTTCCATAGTCCCAAACCCCAGGAAACCAAATGAAAATGACCCCTTAGACACCACTTTACCGCGAACACTGAGTCGGTTCTGACTCACAGAGGCCCCATGTCTGCAGAGCAGAACTGATTCATAGAGTTTCTGAAGCTGTGACCTCCGGAAGTAGACCAGGCCTTTCTTTCGAAGTGCCCAAATATGGGTTCAAATCGCCACAATTCAGCTAGTAGTTGGCTGCTTTAACAGTTTGCACTACCCAAATCTTACTCTCTTCTACGATGCTTAAGGCTTTACTTACAGTGGTAATTCTAGGTATGACACGAATCTGTAAGTTAAGTAAGAAACTCCACCACCCCACCCACCAAAAAAGAAAGGAAATAAAATATTGAACCCACTGCCATGGAGTGAACTGACTCATATGGGGTTTCCAAGGTTGTACATTTTTATGGGAGCAGAGTTCCAACTTTCTCCCTTGGAGCATGAAGTTGGTAGTTCAACAACTTACGCCACAGCTGAAATGTGGAAAAGCAGTTCTATATATTTTCTGCAAAACTGTTTTCAGTTCAGCTAAAAATACCTAAACAAACAAGAACTGAATACCTGTACAGATATTCCTTCTCCTCCTAACAAGATATTTGCTAACATACAAGTGACAATTGCTGATGAATTTGACCACTATCAGGGAGTACTTACCTTGCATAAAGAAAGTGCTAGCAAACATACTGGTTGGTGGCTTGGGAGATGGATAACTAGGTGATTCACGGTTGAAGTCATCTGAATTTGGGGATGGTGCATAAACCTTAAAGTTAAACAACAATATTATTAAGATGTAAATTAATATCATAGTATTATGTAAAATGAATTCCACATTCACAAAGCACATACAAAGATTTACCTAAACTCCATTTGGTCTGCTCCAGATTCAAATAGCAATGCTTAAACCCACATAAATAATGGCTAACTTTGTTTTTTACTTACATGTTTATTTTTAGACTACTAAAGAAAAATACTATTCCATATTCCTATAATGTATTTTGTTGTGACAATTACACCAGATGGATGGACAAAGTTTTAACTGCTGTCTGTGCTTACAGAATAAAAATATCTTATTGTTTCTTAACTCAAAATCTGATAAGAGAAAAAAACAAAAAATGTCCTTTGGCAAATGGTAACATTTAGTTCATAAAATTGGTTCTTTTAATGTTAAAACTTACCAAATAAAATAAAATTACGTTAGATTCAATCTTACATTCCTGTATTACTGCTAAAGGCATAACCCTTGTTGCTTAGAAACTTCAAGTTGGCAGGTTAGTAAATAAACCTAAATCAAATTCTGCTAAGGAGTTTTAATTCTTTGTTTCAAGAAGCTCTCAATTTTGGCAGGGTTTTCTGAAAAAATCTCATTTAATTCCTTAGAGTAATATTAATTTTCTTTTGTAAACCTTGGCTTCAGATAAACAAAGTATCACCATTTGAACTGATAAATGGCCAACATTTCCATTCTTTTGAAAAACTAAACAAATAATTTTCAAGATCAAACCATTGTCAGCAAAGCTACTGAAGCCAAACAGAAAAACAAACAAACAAAATTTAAGATAATGTATGATCAGGAAGTATAAGCTAGGAGTGTCAGGGTAGCCCTCACTGAACAGAAAAATGTTCTGCTGTTAGCAGCATGCTAAAACAAGTATCTTCATTTGTTTCAGTTTGCTAAGGGCAGATCCAATACATTTCACTGGAATTAGAGAAACCTGAAGTGAAAAAAATGCAATTAACATATTAAAATCTGAGTACATGTTGAACATACACTGGAGCTGATTCATAAAGTGGGTAGAAACAGTCCATATTCTTTCAATTCCACGTTCTACATAGTTGGGCATTTTTATCCAGGGTATACATTTCTATACACTTTAAAAAGGGAAAACTCTGGAAAGTACACAAAACTTAAAATGGGAGCCAATTATTTATTTACACAAACTATAAAATAGATTAATTTATTCTCCCTCTCAAGCACTAAAAGACCCTCTGGTAATTTACCTAGTATTCTTGAGATTCCATTTCCTTTTGTAAAAGATGGTTGGTAAAATGGTAATAAATGGTACCTGGGTCAGGAAGTGAATGGGAAAATGAGTCTATGGTGGGAGTGAGGGGGTGGGGCTGGGGGAGCTACAAAAAGTTCGTGAAAAACTAGAATTGAGCTAATGGAATTTCCCCTCAAGCTTTGTGAAGTCCCCTCACATATATAAAATGTTTCAGCATATTTAATAAAATATCATGAACAAAGGAAGCACCCTATAAATATTAGTGAACACCATCCTCTTACTAGCATTCGGATTGGACCAATTATGCTATTACACATCGACCCCATTGAGTCCTTAAATTCTTTTTCTTAATGTTTTGTATGACTTGATTCTAATTATATATACTTTTGTATATATTTCATCCTAAACATAAGGATTAACAGTGCCTTAAAGAAAAAAAGAAGTGCCTTTTAACTCTTCTTGCTTGTCTTGAGAATAGTAGACACAGGTGTGTCTTTTGAATAGTTTAACTTTCAAGCACTAGAGGTAAAACCACACACCTATGAGTGCCCTGTTGGCACTGTGGGTTAAGCACTTGGTTGCAAACTCTTAAGATCTGTGGTTTAAACCCGCCAAGTAGGAGAAAGCTGCGGCTATTTGCTTCTATAAAGACGTACAGTCTCAGGAACCCTACAAAGCAGTTCTACTCTGTCTTACAAGATCAGTACACACTGGAATTGGCTCAGTGGGCAGTGGGTATAGTACCTGAGAAATCTTATATCCCTAAGGGTTATTCAGATGGCTCCTTGATCAGGTAAGTTCATTATATACCGGAAATATTTTTCTAGTTTAAAGCACTTTCACAAAGGTAGTGTTAGAATAAAATAATCGATATAAAGAAATGTCTTTGGAATGTAAGTTTTCAGGAAAAGAACTCCGTAGTTTTTTTCTTCTTTTAATCCAGTTTCTGCTTCTACACAAGCCACAGCTAGATACCCTCTCCACATTTTCCTTTGCACCAAACAAAGCTGAACCACAACGAAGCAGAGGAAAGCCAAAGACTAAACAGACAAGAGCAAAATGTAAAGAACAGCATCAGAACATATATATGTTTTTTTTATCATAAATCCCTATTTATCCCACGCACCATCACTGATTTGAAAGTATGCAATAAAAATTCCCTAGCTCTATGCCAGTTATAGAGTGAAACAGTATGATGATTATGAAGAAACTCCAGTTTTGATGTTTTAAGTTTCACACTGACACGTACATGCGCACACACGCGCGCGCGCGCGCGCGCACACACACGCGCGCACGCAATTTGTCTAAATTTTTACAGGTTGTCAGTCTAACTTGTCTATTTACATTTCTCTATTCCTAATTGCCATCCACTGTATTCCATACATGTTGCATGTACACATTTAAGAATTTTTAATGTTTTGTGATTACAGAAGTAAGCTTGATTTTCTTTACTCACTTAAAATTGGTCGATGTTGATCAGACAAAGGTTCACTGACTGGTCTTACAGGAAGGCAGGACACACAGATGAACCCCACAAAGCAACAGAGTTGGGCTTGCTCATACAAACATTTTGAAGAAATGGCTCATTCCAGTGGTGAATTAGGTTTTCAATGTGAAGCTTATAAATGGACTTACAAAACAATTTGGCTTTTAGAGGTTTGCTCTTATAAATGAAATTGTAAAGCCCCAAACTACTCTAAGTTTATCCTTTATTTATTAATCCAAGTTTTAAAAAACTATGATAAAAATGCTTTGAGTACAGTTCTCTCGAAGAGGCCCATCTAACAACATTTCTACATGGGCCACATAACTTTAATTTTGGTATCTTAACCATGGCTTTTAGAAAACATAGATGCAATGTTATGAACCAGCAGTTGTGCCAGTCTCGATTTTTCAGATCAAAGAGTTTTTGCGGCAAAGAGCAACTGATGTGGTCTTTACAGACTTTATTAACTCCAGATGCGGGAAAATAGTCAGCCAATTCTACAAAAAGAGCAAGTCTCTTTTAGTTACGATCAGTACTGCCCGCAAAGGAGAACCAGACTGCTTATGTCATCTGATCACCTGCACATAGGCCAGTTTTTCCGCCTTAGTTAATGATCTAGTCATACATTTAAATCTCAAGCATGAATTTGTATCACAACAATCTAAAAAATCGAAAGGGACATGCAATGGCTTCCAGACGATTAAAATGTACCAGGACTCAAACGATTTTAAAGGGAAATAGCAAAAGGTACAATTAAGTAACTTAAGATGTCCTCTAACAACACGGGACTCAGTCATTTTAGGGTTCTCGCCTCCATTTCATGATGTCAGGCTCACGGCAGCTAACATAGGGCGATCTTGCTTCTTTTCCATGCACTGTTATTCTCCTGCCTCCACCCACCCCACAAGCCACCCCACCCCCCTGCCCCAGAAGCGTTGACTTACCCCAACTTAAAGATTATTATGGAAAAATTTAACAGATACCTCCCTTTCCTAAGCTTATGTTGAAAAGAACAAGCCCATATCTCAAATGTCCTCATTCTGCCCACTCCAAATTTAGTTCTTAAAGAGGGGTAAGTGTATTTCATGAATGAATATTTGCAATTAAGTCTTTACAGTGATCACACAGTTATCCCTGCAATGTGTTAGGGCATACAACCAATTGGAGTCCAATTGGCAAAGACAAATCTCCCGTTTCCTGCTTACAGTTGCTCTTTGCAACTGGTTCTGTCATGTGGATAAACTCTAACTTTGGGGCAGAGCACTCTGTTTTAATTCTAGAGGCGAGAGCCAGCTGTACGCCTCACTTCTGTCTCCATACATCCTTCTCCTGCATGACATTAATACAGGGAACATCCCTGCAGGCAAGGAAACATGATGCTTTTATGATTGTCACCGAGAAAAGAAGCAAAGTGATAGAGCTAGAGAACAGTGCCATTTTCCTGGTGGTTTTAAAAACATATCCCTGTCTGTGTGGTGGCTAATATTTTAAAATTTTCCAAATGGTGAAGCAATGAATTGGAAGACTGCTTTCATGTCGGAGAACAGCTATATATACAAATTAAGACATCCACCCACAGAGGAGGGAGGGTCCGGCTTAGGGCTGTCCAGAGGAGCCCCGAGGTGGAAATGGGCTGCGCACACTGCACAGCACTGTGGGGGCCGCCTTGACCACACGTGACTGCTGGACACTTGAAATGAGGCGGGGTGGCTGAGGGCACTGAACGGCCAAACATGGCCGGTGGTGACTGTACTGAAGAAAGTGGGCTTAGATCACTGTCCCTTACCCAGAAGTTTAAAATTACATAAACTATTTGAAAAGAAAGGCTTGCAGATTCTCCATAAGCTCTAAGGACTAAGAAAACAAAAATCAACTTAAGTGTTTACATGGTTTGGAAAACACCTTCACATAATTTGAAAAGGAGGGAAGAAAAAGAAAGAAAGATTGGGAGAATCTGAAATTCACTTTTAAAAACACATTCTGATGTAAAACTCATAAACAAAATGCAATATGTTTGGGCTTTTTTGTCAGGCTAGTTTGAACAGCAGCTCTCTTAGCATTCCAGGGTTCAGTATGATTCAGTGCTGTAAAGCATGCTGGCATGGACCTACAATACGGGAATGGGCTATACTACTCACAGGCCCATGCTCAGTATCTTCAGCACAGCCTGTAGAAAAACAAAACCATCTTACCTGACTGACCAGAGCAATCAGACTATTTTAAAATGAAAATAGTCTATCAGAAATATTCACTTGGTTTATCTGATGTTGT